AGAGAAAATTAATATTTTAGCTGAAGGATGAATGTGATCAAGAAAATATGATTTGAGGAAATATTTAGTGCTTGATATAAAATCACTTTTCTGATGATGAAACACTTTATGAAGAGTAAATGAAAGAAAATGAGTGCTACAGTGAAATAGAACATAGACAAATCTGCATTGAAACTCTATTAGCAAGATGAAGTGTGGTCCAGGTGTCCTATAGCTGCCAGTGGTGCAATTTTTTGTAGTTCTTGAAAGGTTTTTTGAATGCTTGTTAAAACTAAAAACAGTCTAGCAGAAAATATGATTGGCAGTATATGGAAATTAACCCCTGGGAGTAATACAGTTCATAGCTCTTACTGACCACTTAGTTTATATTTTAGCTCTCATCTTTAAAAGGCCCTCATCTTTAATTTCAATGAAGGTAATTTCTAACTTTCTATTCTGAAGAAATTATAAGCCTCGGGCATTTGCAAATACTTGGGAAAATCTCATGCATCCTTGCCTCAGCTCTACTGTCTGTAAACATCTTGTAGAATGATAGAAAAATAGGAAAGTTAAGAAATGGGCATTTGTACAAGTAATAGAGGTTAGTAAAAATTCATGAGATATACATGCAATAGCACAGCGGGTAGGGTGTTTGCCTTACAAGCGGCCAACATGGCCGACCCGAGTTCGATTCCTCTGCCCCTCTCGGAGAGCCCGGCAAGCTACCGAGAGTATTCGATATGCCAGACACAGTAACAACAAAGTCTCCAATGGAGACGTTACTGGGCCCGCTCGAGCAAATCGACGATCAACGGGAGGGCCTTTACTTTACTTTTTACATGCATAGAGATTAGAATTTTTTTTTTTTTGCTTTTCTTTACTTTTGGAGTATTTTTGTTTGATTTTTTTTTGCTTGTTTCTATTTTCATTTTGTAGTCAAATCTGTCAGTGCTCAAAGCTTTTTTTCACCTTGCTCCTATACTCAAGGGTCAATCCTGATAGTTCTCAGTGGACAATATCCAGTGCTAGGAATCAAAACTGCATTGACCAACTGCAAGACTGGTACCTATCTGCTCTACTATTCAACCCAAGAAAAATTGATTTTTGGTTTTTTTTTTATCATTATAGTGTGTACTTAGTGCTGAAAATCAAGTCTTACATAAAATGCCAAAAAGGTACAAACAGATGTTTGTTGCTTTGAAATAAAGTGCTTAAAATGCATGTGGTAACCTCAAACTGTCTGCCAAGTCAGGCTTTTCTGACTTGAACCAAGTTCTAATCTTTTACAGAATGGATTGCCAGCAAGAGGTCCTTGATCTTATCCTTAGCTACAGCCCTTTATGCATGAGATTAAGTTTACTTCAATTAAGGAGGATAATTGTCCCTGATATTTTTTTTTTTCATTGAATGGTTTATATTCTAGAATACCAGTCATCTATTGAGGATTTTTTTTTGTTTTTGAAAAATGTATTCCAAATTATTTTTGCTAAGTTATAGAAAGTTATCTAGTTTTACATAATTATAATTTGGTTTGAGTGTTTGTGATATGACTGAGACTTTGTGAGACTCTCATATGCTTGCTTTGCTCGCCTTGTACCTATTAACATTGTCAGATGCTTTCAGTCTGCCACACTATTGAAAAGTGATAAATATTGCTGGAAATGAATTGATCTTTTGACTTTTCTAGAGGTGCCAGGTGCTTCATTTTTCTTTTTGTTACATTTCCTGCAAACCATTGAAGTTTCTCTTCTGAGTTCAGGTAGTCTGGGACCCAGACACAGAATTTATTTCCTTTGGAGTAACAAATGAAGGAACTCCTGTCTTTTTGTTTCCTGCGCATACAAACATCTTATTATGACCAATTTTATAGCTATTTATTGAGTAATTTATTTAAGGGGCTTCCTTCTCTGCTTCAGTCATTTTAGATTTGCTGCTAAATGTCTTTGAAATTTTGGGAAAGTCACTTCACCATTTTAGGGATGATTTCTCAGCAAATAAAAGATTCTAAGCTAAATTAACTCATACTCTATAATTTGATGATTAATTTGTTAATTACAAGTTATAAGAATAAAGAAAAATTCTGAAAATATTCACTAATTAGAAATTGTCTTTGAGTACTTACCATATTAGAATAAATCTGTATATACACACTTACATGCATATAGCAAAGTAATTTATGAATGTTGAAAAAAATTCCAAAATCACATTTTAAATGTGAAAAGAGAAGTTTACTTCCTTTATCTTCTAATGCCATTCTATGGTCCACATTATAGAAATAAAGATAACAGTATAAAAAACTTGCATTTAGTCTAACAATATGCATACGTATGCATATTTCATATATATGTCTTACTGAGAAAATCAAGCAATGCTTGTATAAGGCAGAATTATGATTTTGTAAAGAAATTGATTGCATTATATATACATACCCGTGACATATTCAATATGCCAAACACAGTAACAAGTCTCACAATGTTACTGGGCCTGCTCAAGCAAATCGATGAACAATGGGAGGACAGTGACAGTGACGGTGATGCATGTATATACACACACACAAATGTATATAGAATCTTCCATTGTAGTACTATTTATCATTTGCATTATAACCCTTATGTGATTACAATTTATTGAAGCATTTTCTATGTTTACACATTCGGTTGTTTTGAGTTTTTACCTGTTATCAAGTGCATGATTTATATATTTTAAACCATTCTGTACTAGTCAGGGTTTTACTGTTACTGTTACAGAGGAAAGAGATTTAAAATATTTCTACTTGAGTAAATTATTGCTTTTTCTTTCTCTCTACACCCAATGACTAATTAATTGCTTTCATTCTTCCTCTTAATTATTCCTTTGTGCTTATTTTGATTTATATATATCCTGGGTTATTCTCCTCTTATCTAATCTCACTTGGTGTTTTTTTATTATAGAACAAAAAGTAAGATATTCCTAAATTCCAAAGGGTTGAATACAATAAAGTGTGTTATTTGGCTTATACTTGTTTTTATAAAGCAAGCACTTAAATAACTTTTTGTCCTATGTCATTTTATTATAACATTGATAAAAGTCTCCTGCCCCCGTGCCTGGCTGTCCTCGCCAGGGCCCCTTGGAGGGGAGTGGGTTGAGTTTCCCTCCCCACCCCTACCAAGGCTCCGGCAGCCGAAGACCTCCAGAATCAGTCACCACCATGCTGAGACCACTCTCCACACGCATGAAGGTACCGGCAGAGGGACAAAGGCATGCAGATCCCGGGGCTGAGGTCTCCAAGCCTGCTCAGATCGGGGCTGAGCATCCTCCACCCAGATCCTCCAAATTCCAGTAGGCAGGGGTCACACCCACCAACTGGCCCCCTGTCGCTGTGTAATCCCATCAACAGCCAAGACCCAGATACTATAAAACCCAGATCCCAGAAGCATGTGGCCTCATTCGAGGGTGCATGAGATCTCATTATCTCATCCTTACTTTGGGCAAACTGGCAGGCTACTGAATGTAACCTGTCCACACGGCAGAATCTGGCAAACTCCCCGTGGCGTACCCAATATGCCAAAGACCAGTAACAATGATGGGTCTCATTCTCCTAACCCTGAAAGAGCCTTGAATATGGCACTTTTTAAAAAAATCTCAGGGCTGGAGACATTACTGGGGCCTGCTCGAGGCAATCTATGAACAACAGGATGGCCGTGATCGTGATCATGATTGATAAAAGTAATTTATTCTCAGCCAGGATCATTTTCTGTGTGTTTTATCCTATTACTGAAATTTCTCCTGATGTTTCAAAGATATTAGGTTCAGTTATAGGCTAAACTGTGCTAATCTTAGCTACTGCCTTGTATATGTCTAAATGTGCATAATTATGACCTACAGCAGAGGGTGCTTCCTGTCCGGTGTTGGTTCTCACCTTGCACTTGAAAGCCGTGCTAGTAGGTACTACGACTCACAGTCCTACACTGGAGTAAGCAGGTTGGAGAATGAATAAATGAACGGATGCAAATTACTGTTTTACTTACTGTCAATTGCTGTTAAATGTTAGAAGTGATTTTGGCATTTAGAACTTTTTGATGTTTTTGTGATCAAAAACATGCTATTGGAATTAAACTCTTGTTAAATTGTTGGTTAGTCTATGATAAAATTGGTTTCATTCTATGTCATTTAATTTTACTGATTCCATTCAATGTGCAGAAAGCTGAATGTCTTGGTTTTCTCTTCTGTTTCTTTTCAAAGTTAAAAATGTTAGTAATAATGGTTATGGAATGAGTAAATCAAGAAAGTGCTAGCTGAATAAGCAACAGAATTTAATCTTGAGCTTATCTCTTGTCTAAAAAAATATTGGAGGCTTAAAATAGATGATAAAAGATTGAAGAGTCTTTTTAGATTGTTTATACTATAATTTTATTGTGCTTGTTTTGCCCCAGTTCTTCTCTCATTTCCCACACTTTTAGGAGAAAATATATAAAGATGGATATTAACTATATCCTTGTATTATACAAAATTATATGGTTAGATGGTTAATAATGATATCTAGTATATTAGGCAAGTAAACTGACTTGGTTAATAATGGTAATAATTATAATAATGGTTAATAATGGTTAATAATGATATCTAGTGTATTAGGCAAGTAAATTGACCATTTCAAGGCTAAATTTATTTATCTGTATATGGGATAAAGCAGTTTCTATCTTCATATACTGAGGAAGACAGGTCCAGTGCTTAGCATGGTGATTAAAGCATTGTTAATGCTAAGAGAAATATTGCAAAATTATTAAAAACAAATAAACAAATAAACAAACAAACAAACACTGTCCTCCCATTGTTCGTCGATTTGCTCGAGCGGGCCCAGTAATGTCTCCATTTTGAGACTTGTTGCTACTGCGTTTGGCATATTGAACACGTCATGGGTAGCTTGCCAGGCTCTGCCGTGTGAGCGAGATACTCTTGGTAGCTTGCTGGGCTCTCCGAGAGGGGCAGAGGAATCGAACCCGGCTCAGCTGGGTTGGCTGTGCGCAAGGCAAACGCCCTACCACTGTGCTGCGCAGTGGCAGTATCGTAGCCAATGAGGTCTATCCGAGGCACGATTATTGCTAATTGAAAACTATTAAAATTTACATTAAAAAAGAGTTACACAAATTGTCATGTTTGAAGAGTCTAAGAGTTAGTAGAGGGATTACCCTGCCTAGCTATATATATCCATCCACTCACATTGTTCTGAAATGAACTTGAAGTATCTTAGATATAAAAATGAAGTGCTATTTTAGAGGAGAAAATTGACTGATTTTTGTGTGTGTGTGTGTGTGTGTGTGTGTGTGTGCGTGTGTGTGTGTATGATCACAGCAGGCGATGTTCAGGGGTTACTCCTGGTTCTCCACTCAGAAATTATTATTTCAGATATAGAGATATAGTATACAAAATAATGGTTGAAACCATTGACAGAGTTGTAAATTGAGAACGAGTCATCAACAGAGAGATAGACATTGAGTGGGTAAGCAGATGAAAGGGAGTTTATGGTTATGTCTAACTCAGTTACCAAGTTTCAATTTTAACCCAAGGAACTTTTTCTCCACTTACCATTTTGACAAATGTATCACATTTACTTACAAAGTCTACATCAATATATATTTCCTGTAACTTTTTCAAAAGAAACAATAGACTACTCATGTTACTGTCTTCTAAGAAGAGAAAACCCTGAGTCTATATAATTTATCTGTTCATGCATCAAGTAAGTGTAAATCATGGTTGGAAAGGAGCTGCATAGTTCTAAGAACTATTTTTGAGTTTCTTCATCTGTTCTGCAAGACACTTGAAAAGATGCAGCAATCAGACAATGTTCAAAATTCCTCAGATATAAAACCCTACACCTACTGAAGGAGTCCAATTTCTCACTGTGAAGCTCAAACTATTAGTATCTTGAATGAGCCAAATTTGTAACCTATCACTTTTTTATTTTTTTAACAACCTTCCTTTTTCTGTCTCCCTGGAATTTTCATCAAGTTTCAGTTTCTTATTACATGAAAATCCTTCCAATATTCCTTTAGATTTTTTATTCTTGGCCAATCATCCTTGTTTTCTCATCAGTCTTTATGTGAAAGTTCATCTCTTCACCATTTTAGTTGATACCCAAGGAAAGTACATCTACAACCACTATATAATAATCTTTGAATGGTTTTATGAGATACAAAAAATTATTATTTTATAGAAATTCAATTACTATTAATCTATCCTAAAACGATTAGTGGTTTACTTGCTAGTTATGTATTTATTTAAACTTAAAAAAATCATAAATATGACCAAGAATGTGATTATTTGGTATTGGTTATATACCAGCCAATACAGTAAGGATTTTACAGAGTAATTTAGAAATTTAGTTTCATTATTGAACAAACCTTACTTTTGCATGCTAATTTCAAAATTTTTGCCAAAATATAAACGTTAGGACTCAGGGACCGTTTTCAATCTAAATTCCACAGTGTAAACTTTTTAATTCTGTCCATTTTTACAAGTATTTTTTTCTACTTTAAATCATATCCTTAATTTAAAAAATGTTGAGCAAGACAAGAATAACAGTACTCACGTTTGTCACATCATTAGATACATTCTAATAATGGTACAGATCTCTAACAAGTACCACTTAAAAAGGAAAACAGGAAGAGAGAAAAAGAAAGAGAGAAAGAGAGAGAGAGAGAGAAGAAAAATTTCTGCCATAGAGGGAGGCTGGGGGTCCCTTGGGAAGGAAACTGGGAACATTGTTGAAGGGAAGTGTGCAGTGGTGAAGGGTGGGTGTTGGAACATTGTTTGATTGAAACTGAATCATGAACAACTTTGCAATGGTATATCTTGCCATGATTTAATTAAAAAAAAAAACAAGGACAAAGTTACTTGTAGCTAGGCATGTCCTATTTCTGTCCATAGCCCATCAAGCTTGTTCACTGTTTATCTCTGCACCTTGTTTAATTTATACCACTTATAATTATCTGAGATTTTTTTGTCTGAAAAAAGATTGCAATTTCTTCAAACTGTGGACCCTCATCTGTTTGAATATCTTTTCACTCTAGCACTTCAAATAAATGACATGCAATCGGCACTTAAAAAGTATTGGTTTAAAAGGTAATGACATGCAATCGGCACTTAGAAAGTATTGGTTTAAGGACTAGCAAAATCAGATTACGGACAGTTAACTTAATATTTTTGGTTGTCCATAGAAATAGGAACTAATCAAAATGACTTATGTAAATCTTATTGGTTCTTTTGATAGATCTATGAGTTAGAAACTTTTCTTTTTTTTTGTTTTGGTCTCTGTTTTGGGGCTGTACCTGGTGGTGCTCATATATGATGCTGGGGACTGAACCCAGGTCAGTGCATGCAAGGCAAGCACCCTACCCATTGTCCTATCTAGTAACTAGAAACCATTGTAAGGAAAAATTATGTTAACTGGAACATAATCTTAATCATCAAGTCATGAATAAATTTAAGTATCAACTTCCTGTAACTCTATGCAAACTTATGTTTTTATGCATATATGTATTTTTAGAGGGAATCATTCAACGTTTTTATTATCTGTCCCATTCTTAGGGGCAAATGAAAGTTTAATAACTTATAAGTTGAAAGAATCTTTTCATTCACCAAAGGTTACTGATGATCACACACTTGCCTTTCGTAAGTGTGTCCTAACTGAATTTTGTTGTACTAAATACAATTTGTAAATTTTGAAAATTAGAAGCACATTCACTGCCTCCTTTGGTCTTCCAACACATACTTTCCTCCATATCTTTCTAACTATTTCCTGCAGCAGTTGTCACCTCATGTAAAAATTTTGTTCAGGGACTTAAAATTCAACTCTCTGGTCAAAAGATTTGAACTTACTTGTTACACGTGGGGGGTCCTTTGCAACCTCTTCTCTCATTTGAGCTTCAATTTCAATGAAGCCACTCTTTGTTCTATTTTACTCTAAAGATTCTTTTCCCTGGCAGTAGCACAAGGAGAGAAATAGCTGGGAGTACAATTTTCCCTTTTTTTGTCATAACTCAACAATACAACTTCAAACAGCAGGTATACTTCTCTTTTCTGGATGGGTTTCTTTTCTTTGGATAAGTTACATTTGTAGGTAGCACACTAGGAAGTATATACATAAACAGAAGTGGATAAAGGGAAAAGCAACAAAAAAAATACTGTTTTGGACAAATAGGAAAGACCGTGGGCAAATAATGGAGTTCTGTTGATGTGTTCTTGGCATAGGTCACAGACCTTAGAGAGGCAAGATGGCAGTATGGAAGGCCTTCAATTGTTCAGATACACATCCATTAACATGGCTCTCACCAGGGAATTACCAATTATCACTTTTTTTCAGACTGTAAGTAACCCAGCAATGGAAGAAGAAAATTGTCAAGGGCTTGGCAGATATTACCTCTAAGTAAATTAATTTCTGTTTTTTTTGGTGGGGTGTGGGGTCTTGTATATTCTCTGTTTTGTAAGTAGCATATTTTTAAATGGCATAATACCTCATTAAAGGAGAAATATATTGTCTAATTTTTATGATTTCTTAGGAGAAAATATCTTTGAGGGAAGGGGTTAGTTCAGGGAAAATGCTTTGATATTGGGGAAGTGGGTAAAGGGAAAGGTCTGAAGCAAAAGAACGAGCTTATAGGCAGTGAGGCATGTCAAGAAATGTCTGATTGGGCTAATGTATATGAGTGCCTGTATGTTTTCTTATTTTTATTTATGGAGTTTAGCAGTTTTAGCCATGGTAATTATAATTTAAAAAGTCATGAGAAGAACGTGAGTATACACACATTTACTCAAGGTCTTCTCCATTAGGGTACAGACTTGCCAGAAGCATAATGGTGCACTTTAGAAGCAGTTTTTTTTGCATACTCTGCTTCTGATATGAGTGCAGAGAAGTTTGACACCTGATTCTCTATAGCTATTGGTTGCTGGATAATTTAGATGCATACATGGAATGCAGAAAATATCTTGAATATCCTGAAAGACTTTGATCGAATGAATACTTGAACTTTGATTTCTTTCTTTAATTTTCAGATTTTAGATGAAAATTTCAATGTTCTGTAATTCACTCATAGAATGTATTGACACAGCCTTCTTTATGCTAAATATCTTGCCAAAGCACTGATTTGTTGCAATCAGTTGTGGTAGCATAGTTTAGACCAATATTTCTCAACTGATGACAATATGACCCCACCATCAGCCCCAGGAGAGTCCACAGGGGCAACCAGTGAAAATCCTGTAAATGAGGGGCCATGACATGAAACTGGGGGACAAACAGTAGGACTACGGGGAACAGGGAGAAAACAAAGTTGTAAGGGGACAATAGTCAGAAGATGTTTGAGAAACACTGTTATAGACAAACGAGCTGCTCCATAGAAAGTTTTTCACTTTTCACCAAGGTGTGGTAACATGCTGGGCTGGAGCAATAGCACAGTGGGTAGGGCATTTGCCTTGCATGCGGCCAACCTGGCCCACCCAGGTTTGATTCCTCCATCCCTATTTGTCACTCTCGGAGAGCCCCACAAGCTACCGAGAGTATCTCGCCCACACAGCAAAGCCTGGAAAGCTACCCGTGACATATTCTATATGCCAAACACAGTAACAAGAAGTCTCACAATGGAGACGTTACTGGGCCTGCTCAAGCAAATCGATGAAGAATGGGAGTACAGTGCTATGATAACACACTATGATCTACACTATGATCTACAGCTTATATTAAAGAAAAACCAATATACCCTATAGTGCTACATTTTGGAATTCATCTTTACAAATATGTTGAAAGTCTCCTTAGCAGCAGCTGGAGAGATAGAATAGTGGGTAAGGCACTTGTACTGCACGCAACTGACCAAAATTCAATCCCTGGCACCTCATATTGTCCCCTGAGTCAGCTAGGAGTAATCCCTAAGCACAGATTCAGGATTTTCTGAAAACTACTGAGTGTGGCCCCCAAACAAAAGTCCTTAATAAAATCAATATCAATCAATCTTTTCAATTTCCACAGCACAAATCCAACACATTTTTCTAAGAATATGAGTAAAGAATGATTTTTTAAATTACTCTGGTAGTGACTAGATTAATATTTCAAACACAATTCAACTAAATAACACTTTAAATTATGTTCTTAAAATAAATGCCCTGACTTGTCATAAGCAAGCCACCTTACTAAACC